ATCTCACACAAAGAAATAAGGAAGGAATTAGTTCGGTTCCTAGAAAACTTTCCCAACCTGGTAAGACCCTTGCACGGGCGATCATTGGTACTAAACTTTAATAAAATCACCGAATGATTTGAACTTACTCGCAAACCTCGGCGACATATTGATGGAAATCTTTTGAAACGAAAAGAAGTTCATTGTTTATTTAGAATCACGTCACAGAACTCTTGTCTTTTATCTTTTTTACTTTATTAGTATGCTGATTACGAACGAACACATTAGGATCCACTGACTGATAGCTTCTTTAAGTCTATTGATTAATTTGCTTATTTTCTCCTCCAAAGCCCGATGGAACAGAGCTGTTCAAGTTTGTCCACGGATATCCATCATGGTCTGATTACCTGAGAATAATGGCCCAAGACGGCACCTGGGGTGATCACGTGATCCTTCATACTGCAGCAAACTGCTACAAGATTCGTATTCGTGTGATCAGTAGCCTTGGCTGTGATGTCATGATCAGTCCGAATCATTCCGATGTTGTCAACACCAATACACTTGTGGTTGGTCACATTCACGAAAAGCACTATGTAAGCCTTCGACTCAAACAAGGTACAGGATATAAATACTTTCGGCAGATAATCTACAGGTGTCGATAGCCTCTGAATTTACTCTACTTCTCTCCACTCCCCTGATTTTCAAATTTTTTTAATGTACTGACCAGACACGATGGAAATGCAAATGCCACCTCCATAATTTTTATATTTAAACAATGAACGCGTTACACCGGTCATCGACGGAACCAACTCACCAGCTTAGTTCATCGGTCCCCTCTGTAAGAGCTTAACATACTTTATAATAAAGTTCGGATATAACGCGCGCTGTCATTGGTTGAAAGAGCGTGCACTATGAGAGTATAGAGCATAGAGCTGAGCGACAGCTGTCACGCCATCTGCCAATTGTACTGTGTTCGACCTTTTCCGGGAGTTCTTTTTAGCTTTTTCACGCTCAGTTAGATGGCAAGCTTACGTACGGTAATAAAAATCGAACACAGGTAACACTCGTATAGTATATAAAGTTCAGTGTTCAAAATCAAAACAGAACGAAACAGAAATGATGAAAAATATAACCAAACTGGCATAATTGTTAAAATTCATACTAATCATGACGGTGTCAGAGCGAATATGATCATGCTGAAGTTCATCGCGGCTCGCTCGTCATGGCGATCTCCGGTCATCACAGTAAAGCAAGCCTCAGAAACTACATCGGCCGCCCTTCGAGTGAAACAAATAAGAGCTTGCTCTGATATCCTTTACGATACGTTGAGTGGCAATTCACATCAGTCACTGCAGCCGAGTTTTGCGGCGCTGTCATCACGAGCGATCTTCATGTTCCGGTGAATTCGGCTGTCGTTCATTCAAAAAACACTTGCCTTGAACAGTTTGTTTTTCTACCTTGTCATGTGGAAAAAACTCGCGTGTTTTTATGAGCCATAATTCGGCTGAAGTTCACTGAACATTTCACTTCAAGATTCTGTATTAGACACTTAAAAACTTCAGGCAAAAGTGTTAAATTCGACTTGCCGAACTATTTTATTTTGTAAACTATCGTAGAATGTGAATTTTGATGGTTTTTGAACTTTGATGGTTTGACACTTTTGACAGCATTAGTCTTGTACAGCCAATCAGATTATTTGAACCATTCTAACAAGGGATGAAGTGGGAAGAAACACTCGACTACGTCTCGTGTTTCTCCCTACACTTCTTTCGTGCTCTAGCCGCTTCCTGCGTGCTTTATAACAGAACAGAGCACAGTCAAGGCTTCTCTATTTGTTAAGTATCTTCTTCTTATAAGCTCTACGCTTATAAGCAAAAGGAAAAACGGAAGGGGTTTTAGAAGTGTTTATAAACTAAGGAGCTTATATCCAAGGGGGCTTATAACCGGTATAGAAAAAGCACTACGAAATGAGCTGTAGCACTGCTAATCAAAAATCAAAACGTCATAATAAATCGAATTCATTTCAATACATTTGGAACAGAATTGAAACTAACAACACGAAGAAATCTGGAACGTAACAAAACGAAAGTTTAAACCTTTCCCTTGAAGTTCAACTTTGCTCTCCTATCATTAGAATCATAATTTCCAATTCACAGCAGAGTTTCTATGTCACAAAACAAGAAAAGATAGAGGAGGGGCTTATATTGGAGGGTGGGGGGGGGGGTATAATCAGATGTATTATTTTGGTGGGCATATACGCGGGGGGCTGCTTATGCGTGGAGGGGCTTATAAGCGGTAGCTTGCAGTATACCGCAGCAGGTTAAAGAAGTAGCCAGGCCGATATGGGAACAAAGAAGAAGTAATAGAGATTTTTAACTAAAACTTTTATTCTACCATAGGGCATTAAAGTTAGACTTGCAAACCCATAATAAAAAATAGAGGATAGGTTGAAGCGGACGATACTGACTGATGAAAAAATTTATTCTTTGTTTAAAGCTATCTCAATGGCCTTTACCCACTTTTTGGGTATTTTCATATCAGGCAAGATATCTGAAACAGGTGTTGTGCCTTAGACAACTAGAGTGGTATTAGTACCGAAATGAAATAAAGACTTCTTTTACCGATTTTCTACTCAAATGCAGGATATTCATCATAAGATAATTCGTTTTCGCAGATATTCCTGAGCCTTGCGAGTTGATTGAGAGGATTCGTCAGCTGTACAAAATACGTGAAGAACAACTCCTGCCAGTCCCTTGGTGCGAAGATTTCAGTTTTAAACTGAACGAGATTTTCACCAGGCTTAGAATTGTACGCAAAGATAAGACTAGAGGAGAAATGAAGGAGGAGATCACAAACATGACAGCTATCTTCAAAACACATGAAGAATGCGAAGGGAAGAAGACTGCACCCCCCACTGCGCCACGGACTGCACTTCTGACTGTACCCCGGACTGTTTTGATCGAAGGGGATCCAGGTATGGGAAAAACAACCTACTGTCAGAAGCTGGCCTACGACTGGGCAACTTCACGAGAACACTGGGACAAGTCCTTCCCAATGATTGCTCTACTTTTACTGCTAAGGTGCCACGAAATCAAATCTAACCTTTGGAAAGCAATTGATGAGCAACTTCTTCCTGATGACATCGACGAAGAAAGTAAACAAAACCTTTTCAAGTTCATTCATGAGAATCAGTCCAGGGTTTTGTTTGTTTTTGATGGCTTAGACGAAGCTGACCTTGGTAAAATAGACCTTTTTATCAGTCTCACTCAAGGAAAACAACTCCCCAAATGCCTTTTTGTTTTCACTTCTCGTCATGAATCTGGGATGAAAATGAGGCGCTACTGTGACAATCTGTGGGAGATTGTGGGATTCACACAAGAAGACGCCAAACATTTTATTTACAAGTACTTTCGAAACATGGAACACTTGGCTGAGAGACTTTTTAAAGAGATTAGGTCAAGATCAGAATTACGCCAACTGATATCAAATCCTCTTAACACCGCACTATTGTGCATTCTTTGTGAAGATTTTAAAGAAGCCTTTCCAAAGAGCAGAACTCAATTGTACATTGAAATCGTAAAGTGTGTCTTGAGAAGATATGAAGAAAAGAAAGGATTTTCCAGCAACAATGAAGATTTGATTGAATTTTACGAAGAGGAACTCAGAAGCTTGGGGAGTATAGCGTTACAATCTCTTCTTAAGGGTGAGCTATATATCGAAGAAAGCAAAGTAAATGCTAACAATATTAATGCTGTAAAGAAGTTTGGATTTCTATCAGTTCAGTCTGGAAGCCGTAAGAGAGATCCTTGCTTTCGTTATAGCTTTCTGCACAAGAGCTTTCAAGAGTTCTTTGCCGGTTTTCACCTTGCTTTAAAGATTGTCAGAGAAGAAGATGAAGCAGAAATCAAAATCTTAGATAAAAGATTTCTGGGTGAGCTGCATCAGGTGTTTTTGTACATATGTGGAGTTGTTGCTATGCAATCCGAGGAAACTGCGAGGCGTCTCTTGCGGAAACTTACCACTCATGTAAATATGTTAAGTGCGGCATCTCAAAGAGTTAGTAGAAACATAGAATTGGCATTTTTTTTAGTAGATGAATGTGTAAAATGTAAGGAAAGCCTTCAGTCCCAGTTGCTTCATGAGTTTGGGGCTCACCTCCAGCTCAAGGCTTGCACGTTAAGAATGATGCCGCAATTCTTTTTTTTTTTTGAAAGTCTTAAATCCAATACCTTTTTAACTTATTTAAACCTAGCTTGTCCTACTTCTGAAGAGGTTGTCAACGACCCAGACACTATTTCATCGGTTCGTTTGACATGGGTTTCGATTGGTGTTGCTTCTCTCTCTCAGGCTCTTTCAGTCAATAATACATTGACTCATTTGAACTTGAAATGTGCTATGGTCCGTGATTCTGGTGTTGATTCTCTCTCTGAGGCTCTTTCATCCAATACTGCATTGACTCATTTGTACTTGAATAGAAATATGATTGGTGATTCTGGTGCATCTTTTCTCTCTCGTGCTCTTTCAGACAATACTACATTGGCTCATTTGAACTTAGATAGAAATGCGATTGGTGCTTCTGGTGCTGCTTCTCTTTCCCAGGCCCTTTCAGTCAACAGCAGTTTGGTTTATTTGAATTTGGACAGGAATTTTCTCGGTGATTCTGGTGCTGCTTCTCTCTCTCAGGCCTTTTCAGCCAATACTACATTGGCTCATTTGAACTTGGGTAGAAATGCGATTGGTGCTTCTGGTGCAGCTTCTCTCTCCCAGGCCCTTTCAGTCAACAGCAGTTTGGTTGATTTGAATTTGGAAAGGAATTTTCTCGGTACTTCTGGTGCTGCTTCTCTCTCTCAGGCCCTTTCAGTCAATAGCAGTTTGGTTGATTTGAATTTGGAAAGGAATTTTCTCGGTACTTCTGGTGCTGCTTCTCTCTCTCAGGCCCTTTCAGTCAATAGAAGTTTGACTGATTTGAATTTGCGTGATAATAAGATTGGTGATTCTGGTGCTTATTTTCTCTCTCGTGCTCTTTCAGTCGAAACAACATTGGCTCATTTGAACTTGGGTAGAAATGAGATTGGTGCTTCTGGTGCTGCTTCTCTCTTCCAGGCCCTTTCAGTCAACAGCAGTTTGGTTGATTTGAATTTGGAAAGGAATTTTCTCGGTGATTCTGATGCTGCTTCTCTCTCTCAGGCCCTTTCAGTCAATACTACATTGGCTCATTTGAACTTGGGTAGAAATGAGATTGGTGCTTCTGGTGCTGCTTCTCTCTCCCAGGCCCTTTCAGTCAACAGCAGTTTGGTTGATTTGAATTTGGAATGGAATTTTCTCGGTGATTCTGGTGCTGCTTCTCTCTCTCAGGCCTTTTCTGTCACTACTACATCGACTCGTTTGAATTTGTGTGGCAATGAGATTGGTGATTCTGATGCTGCTTCTCTCTCTCAGGCCCTTTCAGTCAATAGCAGTTTGACTGATTTGAATTTGCGTGATAATAAGATTGGTGATTCTGGTGCTGCTTCTCTCTCTCAGGCCCTTTCAGACAATAGCAGTTTGACTGATTTGAATTTGCGTGATAATAAGATTGGTGATTCTGGTGCTGCTTCTCTCTCTCAGGCCCTTTCAGTCAATAGCAGTTTGACTGATTTGAATTTGCGTCATAATAAGATTGGTGATTCTGGTGCTGCTTCTCTCTCTCAGGCCCTTTCAGTCAATAGCAGTTTGACTGATTTGAATTTGCGTGATAATAAGATTGGTCATTCTGGTGCTGCTTCTCTCTCTCAGGCCCTTTCAGTCAATAGCAGTTTGACTAATTTGAATTTGTGTGATAATAAAATTGGTGATTCTGGTGCTGCTTCTCTCTCTCAGGCCCTTTCAGTCAATAGCAGTTTGACTGATTTGAATTTGCGTGGTAATAACATTGGTGAATCTGGTGCTGCTTCTCTCTCTCAGGCTCTTTTAGTCAATACTACATTGACTAATTTAAACTTGGATATAAATTGGATTAGTGCTCCTGTTGCTACTTTTCTCTCACAGACCCTTTCAGTCAACAGCAGTTCGGGCTGATTTGAATTTGGAAAGGAATTTTCTCGGTGCTTCTGGTGCTGCTTCTCTCTCTCTCTCTCTCTCAGGCCCTATCAGTCAATAGCAGTTTGACTGATTTGAATTTGTGTTATAATGAGATTGGTGATTTATGTACTGCCTCTTTCTCTCAAGCCCTTTCAGTCAACTTTAAATTGACTTACTTGAATTTGGAACGGAATGTAATTGGCGATTCTGGTGTTACTTCTCTCTCTCTCACACTCTTTCAGCCAATACTTCGTTGGCTCATTTGATCTCGAATGGGGATCGAGGACATTGGTTTTTCTGGTGATGCTTCTCTTTAACACCCCTTTCTTTAAATAATTATTCGACTGTTTTGTTTCTAATGAGTGTCACTAGTTTTGCTTAGCTCTCTGTTTCTTCTATATATTGACGAATCTGGATATTTAGATCGATTTCTCAAGTTATGTGTCGAACGTATCCAAATATGATCAATAGTTTTAGCAGCCATGGAGATTCATACTCTAAAATGAGCAAAGAGCTAATTGAATTTTAAGGGAAAGCAACAAAAAGATTCAACATTTGATTTAGTTTTGTTCCAAACCTAAGGTCAATATTGTATGGGTTGTAAATATTTCCACACACGTGGACGACGAAAGTATTTTCATTTTTTGGGGTTTGCCATGAATGTCAGTCTTTAATGACTTCTAGCACATCATGCTGAGAAGTGTAAGATGCGCAAGAGGACTTAAAATTTACTGTTAGGTATATACAACATTATCGTAATTTGTTGTATAGTTGATTATTTCAAGTGAAAAAATGACTTGGATTATTGGTAGTAGTTTTTTTTTTTTTAAAGATAAAGTGTTGTATTTGAATGATTGATCGTAAGAAAATAACTGCTTCATGAATTAAACACTGTCAAGTAACTTTGATAAGTGTTGGAAATAAAGTTTTTTAAGACAGTTTGATCGTATTTTTTTTATTTCTATTTTTGGGAGCAGAAGGAGGGAGCAGTTTTTTTACGTGAGGAAATCGAAGAGGGAAGGAGCAAAATTGCATCTAGTCTCGTTTCCGAGAGTGTTTGAGTCCGAGACCAGGATATAGATAGGTTTTAAGATTAACACTGTACAACGGTCAACGCCAACTCAATATTTTTATGCTCAATTAATAGATGTATACGGGTGTTAGAGGACGGGAGGGACCTAAAATAAAAAAGAGAGAGATAAGAGTCGTTCAAAACTGGAATGTCATGAAATAATTTATCAACCCGCCCTGCTGTCTGATTACTCCCTCAACGAAAAGGGTTTAAGAACTAATCAGACTAACGAAAGTGTATACTAAGAAAGAAAAGAAATGATTCTAGCTTGTGTCATCGCACGTTTGGGAAACACGTGCAGTTACATAGCTTGACCCGCCGTAAGGACATGTCAGCATGAACATGAACGATAATAAATTCACGCGTTCTTTAACCAACTTTATCTCGCGTGACACGAAATTGTTCAAATTAAAACTCTTGCAAAGCGTCAGATTATCTTGAAATCAATAACCGCCACTACCCGAATCAAGCTCTCTTGCAATTGGCCAGGTTAATTTGTCTTTAGTGCCGAAATATTTTTTCCGTAAAGCACGTTGTCCTTATGAATTAGACGGAATACTGCTGTGTGTCGGACACATTTATCTGCAATTGATTTTAGCTTAAAATTTGTAAAATGAGAAGGGATGGGCATGTTTGTAGTTACCTTCAAAGCTACTGAAATTTTTGTTTGCCTCAGACATATAACATGAATCATAGTGCAATTTTTATTTAATGATATTGCATGGGTGGACACCCCATGAGATTCACAATTTCATTTTGTGGCACGTGCGAGTCAAATGTCTCCATCATAATCGCTGTTTACAAGTGTATCGCCACAACAGAAAAGTTGCGTGACACCGTTTCTGATCAGTTTCTTCAAAAGGTTCCTTTCGGTTCCACATCCGAAGAGTACTGCAATTTCTCTATAAGATATAAATTATTCGTCTCGGAACGTGGATTTGTATCTCAATATGGTAGTTGTAAAAGATGTGTTATCCTTTCCCGTCATTACCTTTCCAGTAATGGTCTCCTCGGTTGAAACTGAGAAAGTTCTGGAAACTATTAAGTTATATTGCTATGTCTGTCGAGTATGGTTGGCCAAATGTTGGAAAATTCAACAACTTGCATATTTATATTCAACAACTTATATTTATGCTCAACAAAATATATTTTATTCAACAGTTTACAGTTATATTCTGTAGGCGCAAGAATTTGTATTATCATTTTTTGTTAGTGTTGGTGTTTCATAGTTTCGTGTTAGGTGTTTATTTTCTCGTCTTCATTAGTGTCCTTTGTCAGTTACCAGTTTTGTACTTGTTATATTTATTTGCATATCGTATATATATTGGTTGCGCGTAATTTATTTGGTTAGTTGTCTAGTTTGCGAAAATTATCGTTACATATCTAGCTCTGGGTTTCATGTTTTCGTCTTTGGTTTGGTCACATTCGTCTTGTAAGTATCCTTGTTTATTTTGCTTTGTCGTTTTCCAGTACTTTCACTCATACGATGTAAGATATTTTATGCTCATTCGCGTGTTTGTAATTTTGTCATTTTCAGTTACCGTATTCAACAATGTGTCAAGTTTGTTCTAGTAAAGTTTGAAATACGAGTGATTAGCGTTTACGGCTATATATTCAACATTTTGTATTTATGTTCAACAATACGCAATCTCTTTTCATATTCAACTAAATTATTTTCATTCAACAACAATGTTTATTCAACTTCAATAGCTATATTTATTTTACTCAATTAAATTAATTGTTCAACTTCAGTCCAAACTTTTTACTCAACAACAATAATTATTCAACTTCTACCATGTATCTTTTGTGACGAAGTGTTTGAAAGTTCCCGGACATTCGAAATATCGTTATTAAACAAATTCCCCGTCCCATCCCCAGTTAAATACGCTGTATAGTGGACCCAGTTCCCCGATTATAACGCTCATGAATAGAGATGGCGTCGGAAGACGGAGGAACAAGCGACTAAATACAGGAATGGCTCCGACCTGTGATTGGATGATAAAAATAGTAAAAGTTAATAAGTTATATCTTAACTCCTTGCTCGTGAGTATTGTTTGACCGTGTGTCTCGAAGCGGAACGATGAAATATATCAATGCGAGTGAAAATACCGATGTGTCAAACAAGAAATGGCTACATATTACGAAGGGAAGGCAGAGCCTCTCTTGTTCAACGAGGTCGTTCAGCGATATTCCGACGATGACTAAGTAATCCGCTGATATGCTTCGCTGACTGAACCAGTTTAGTCAGTTTAGGCGGACTATTAGAGACTGGAGCCATTCCTGTATTTTACCGCTGACAGGAATGGCTCCAACTCATGCGTTTATTTATTTTTTTTTTTTTTTCGTTTTTTTTCGGAAAGGCAGAGCCTCTCTTGTTCGGCAAGGTCGTTCAGCGATATTCCGACGATGACTAAGTAATCTGCTGATTAGCTTCGCTGACTGAACCCATTTAGTCAGTTTGATTAGGGACTGGAGCCATTCCTGTATTTCATAGCTGACAGGAATGGCTCCAACTCATGCGTTTATTTTTTTTTTTCGTTTTTTTTCGGCAAGGCAGAGCCTGTCTTGTTCAGCAAGGTCGTTCAGCGATATTCCGACGATGACTAAGTAATCTGCTGATTAGCTTCGCTGACTGAACCCATTTAGTCAGTTTGATTAGGGACTGGAGCCATTCCTGTATTTCATAGCTGACAGGAACGGCTCCAACTCATGCGTTTATTAATTTTTTTTCGTTTTTTTTCGGCAAGGCAGAGCCTGTCTTGTTCAGCAAGGTCGTTCAGCGATATTCCGACGATGATTAAGTAATCTGCTGATTAGCTTCGCTGACTGAACCCATTTAGTCAGTTTGATTAGAGACTGGAGTCATTCCTGTATTTCATCGCTGACAGGAATGGCTCCAACTCATGCGTTTATTAATTTTTTTTTTGTTTTGGCTAAATAATCTTTACACTGATATAAAAACTTAAACAGCGTTTTATTGGGTACTTCTTATGTTAAACTCAACAATGCTTGTAAATTAAGGCCTCTCTTATTAATACAGGGCCATGTAGTTTCTATATTTTCAAATAATGCAGCAACTGCTTGTCACGTTTGGAAAAACGCAATCTTGCGTGACGCTTCGACCGATATTGTTAATTTGCAGTAAGCTCTCTTGGAGAAATGTGCCTCGGCCGCAATCGAGGGATTTTTTTTCTTGGAACAATGATTTTCTGGGTTAACTCTTCACATGAAGGACAAATTCGTTCATCAGGCTCCTCAGCTATTTTTGCACAACACCTGAAGGAAGAAAGTCGTGGATTACTTTAATTTTGCTTAGTAATTTTTAACAACTTCACGAGACCTGAAAAAAGGAAGAACAAAATAAACAAAACAAGATGCCTTACCAGTCAAACCAGTGACAGCAACTCTCGCATTGTATCATGTCGAGGTACCTTGATTGTTTGCATTGATGGCACATCCAGTCTTCGGACAGTTTTTCGGCTATAACAAGAAAGAGTAAAATTATTTTTGGAAACGTGTTCAAAACTAAACAAGGCTGTTCATCACATGACCCTGTTTTGGAAGTTATATATCTCGTTTACTATTGTATCACACAACTGTTTCGGACAAGGTATTTATACGACTTAAATTTAAGAAAGAATGAGTACAATCTAAACCGCGTTTTCTGTAAAGAACACAAGCCATCCTAACCTAATTTGCCAACTGCTTTCCAGGCATCATCTGTAAAAAACCTCTTCAAGTCTACTAGGTTAGCTTCTACTGCCTCTCCGGGTATCAAAGATGCCCCGTCTATATTCAATACATCAGAAACAGACAGTTTCATGGCAGATTTGACCAGGTCTTCAATGGAGTGATGTTTTTCCTTGGTAAACCAGTGAAGCATTTCTTGCAATCCTTCAAGAGAAATTAACAGGTGGCGAGATGAGACTGGTGTTATATGCAAAGGAAAAAAATTTTTCAAACAATGAAGCATAACATACCTTGTGCGCTATGGTTTTCCGATGTGAAGTCTACAGGTACTTTGTTGTTGTGCTGCTCTGATTTCTCATTATTCCTCCAGTTCTCAATCATCTCCATCTTCTCTCCCTTGGTTGGTTTCGCTAACCTGATATTTCTCTTCTGTCTTTCGTTTGGTGGAATAGAAACGTTTCTGGACCTCAATTTTTTTGTTGGCAGGTGCACTCCCTTTAGGTATAGCAGCTGAAATTGCACTTGTCGTATATTTGTGCTGCTTGATCAAAGTGAACAAACTATAAGAGGAGTTGACACTTTTATCCAACTGTTGCAACGCATCTTCATCTTCACAGACTTCAACGTCATTGATCATTCTGAGCAATTTCGCCTTAAGAGATCGTTTCGTCCTCTCTATGGTACTTTCCCCATTCTCGCCCACAGCTCCTTTATTGAGACAGTCTCGTAGAAAGTTCATCTCGTTGGTGCTGTCGTAGTATGCAGTATCACTAGATGCCTCCTGGTAGTCAGGATCCATGGAACTATTTTCTGGGCGTGGGAACTGACTAAGGTTGTCTTTGGGAACTGAGCTACCATTCAAATATCTGTTCACGAGATGTATGTGTTTGCAAATAGTGCTTGTAATCAAGCTGTCGGGGCAGTTGCAGACATAAAGATGAACACAGACGCAACACTCCTGGCATCTCAACCCACAACTTGTTTCCTCACAAGCACTTGCTATTCGGCAGACTTTATATGAACTTCTCCCGTCCTCTCCAAGAACCGTCCATGCATCATCTTCCTCGCAGTTAACAGACTCAACAGGTAAGGGCAGGCTCCGTAAGTGACGATCGTGTATCATATTTACTCGATTTGTAGATTTCCCCTTGGTTACTTTGATTAGGCGATCGAAGGTCTTGTCACGAACATATTTTAATAAATTAAGTATGCAGTTATCTAAGCGTTTGTTGACTTTCCCTTTTAGATATCCGTATTTGAAAACTCTGTGGAAGGCTTCCACGAACATGTTCGTGTTGATTCCGAGACCAGTTCTAAAACAATATGCCCACTGATGCTTCCGAGGGACCCAGTCACGCACAAAATACTTATGGAACGCGGCAGTCTTAGAGGAGAGGCTCAACCGGTGGAGTAGGGCCCGTAGACAGTCATCAAATAACGATTCGTTGGTCTGCTCTAGGACTGTTCGGAACATTTTGTAGATCTCTGCTTCGGTAGATAAGTCACCAATTTTCTTTCTGAGCTCCATGTTTATGGCCCTATCCACGTGCCACGTGCATAACAGCTTCTGGGACCGTGGGACATCATTCATAACACCCACCCACGCATTGTAATACTGTGGGGCGATGTCACTCATAAACCATTTGCTGGTGATAGAACCAGCGCAATTCTTTCTCACTTCACGAAAGAACGTACACATAGTTGTGAAATCTTCATGATTAGAAAGGCACCATGCAGCAGGAAATCTTTCACCATACTCATCTACCACGAGGCATGTAGTGAGAAGGAAGTCGTAAGCGTTGGTACCATGAGTACTGTCTCAACAAATACCTTTGGTCCCAAATTTCTAAAGCATGTGCCTTTGAAAAGGACTCTGTATTATCAAAACAAAGTCCTCCTTAGATAAGTCATACCCTTCTACCATTTCATCCTGAAACTTGCAGAAGAGTATGGGATTAGTATCTGCTGATTGTTCCCATTCCGTAATCCAAGCCAACACACTATCTTGATCATTGATGTGACGCTGAAAGTCTTTCAGTCCGAAAGCTCTTTCAATGTTCAACAGATCCTTTTTTTCCAACAGGTGATGCCGAAAGAAGTTATTCTCCGTTACACTATCTCTGATGTCGTCAAGAATTTTCTCCCTTGGAACCCCCTGTTGGATTTTTGCCGCAAGCTCTTGCCTTTTTCCTTTTGGCAGCCACGTATGCTGGATGTCTCTTGTGTGGCCATAGTGGGTATAGCAGATCTCCACTTTTGCTTTGCCATCCGCTAGATTAGATACATTAAGTGTGGAAGTACAGTTCCTCTCTATCTTGCAGGTTCCTGTGAAAAGAAAAAAAATGCAGAGTATTCCATCATTAAAACTAAATGAATTAAAATCGTTTCTGATCGATTGTTTACGCAAATTTAGTACAATAAAGTAACGATGCAACATTATTTTAAAAAAAAGACGGATGACCGAAAGATATGCAAAAAGACAGATAAATAAATATCTCCTATAGCATTTAATAAATTAAAATGATATTTATAATAAGTAATTTCGAGATTTCTCTTAGTTTGAAACAAAGATCTTGAGATGACATGCCTACAAAGTAGAGATTTCTTTCGTTGACCTGAACTAGTACCTTGAGACTTTCCTCTTTTCTTTCCAGTTCTGCGTGGCCTGTAACTCCCACAACGGTTGCACTGGAAATAATCGACCCTGAGCCCACTGTTTTTTTGTTTCTTGGAACCTTTAGTAGCAAATAAGTAAGCAAATAAAAAGTTAACAAATAAGTGAATGGATGAATTAATGAATTAACTAATTAATCAATTAATTAACTAACAATTACTGGTTGAAAGTGAGACATGTTAATTGCCTGATGAGACTGGCTTTATTGCATTTTCAAGGGTTACCGCTTTCTTTAAGTAACGCACCTGTCACCTTGACAAAAGAGCAGCCTTCTTTCTCCTCAGTGTCCGCTTTCCACGTCTCGAATTCTAAAATAAAGATATATTATGTGTCATTTGGGACTCGACTAATGGTCTGAAATAAGTAGATATGAAAGTTATAAGAGATGTTTAATTTTAAAAAAAGAGGCTGAGTAAACCTTACTCTTAGCATTTTGCATTTGCAAAATTTCTGTCCTGAATATCACGCCGTGTTCTGTAGACAAATGTTTCCTTAGGTCCTTAATCCTGAAACATCGATGGCCACACTCAAGACATAGACACTTCCCACTTTGGAACGCTCTCTTCCCGACAGCCCTAGTATGTTTTCGGTTGATGTGTCTCTTCATGTTTGATAGTTTAACACAAGAATATTCACATTCAGGACATTGATGAGACTTCCCGGTTCCTCGTTCACCTCTATGCTGCTCTCCACTACCTGGCCTATGCTTTGGACTGTCATCACGGTTTCTTTTCTCATCACAAGTGACTCTATCGTCGTCAGTTGCTCTGTCACGATCGCCCTTGTTTTTTCCATCTTTCTCTCCACCCACTCTCTTAACAGGAATATTACGGTATTTCTCTTGACTGGCCTTGTCATTTCTGTTTTCACTTTTGTTGACTTTTTTTTCATAGTTATTATTGATCTTTTGTAACTGTTTGTTGCCCAGGATTTTATCCTCTGCCTCACTGCTGCTTTGAGTGCTCTTAGTTCTCCCTGCCCTTTCCGCTTTTCTTTGAATACAAAGTCCCATCTCATTGTTCTCTGCGGTGTTGTCTCTCTCATCTATGTCTCCTTTTGATGATGGTACTCGAGGAGTGTCCAAGTCCGAATCGGAGTCTGATTGGCTCTCGTGACTAAGTTCGGGGCGAAGAAAAGAAGATGGAAGCACATGCTCAAGGTTAATTGATTTCTCACCGATCCATCCCTTGATATCACTCTACGCAAGTACTTTGCATAGCGCGTTGGAGCACTTATGAAGACATTTGAAGGCGACACCGCCTGCGATTGACCTGAATAGGTAATGTGAGAAAAAAATGATCGGGCTGTACAGGCGTACACAGCCATAATCAACACCACAACGCCACATATATTAGAGCATGTCTGAAGGGGGTATTGAGATGCACAGCTGAATCCACATTTGTGCTCCCGTTCAGTGGAACGTTACTTGAAGTGTGACACTCGAAAACGGAGTAGTCGGATAAACATTCTCCATAAATGTGCTCGATGAATTGCTCTAATCTAGGCAAGAGGTCGACTGGTACGCTCCAAGCCAGTGAGTCGCTATAGACTATTTTCTTTTTTTCCCGATCAACATGGCACATTGTCCAGTGACAACCACTCCGGGATCCGCTTGCAATGAATACATTGCCACTTGAATCCTTACCGACATTAAGGGCAAAGAACAAACTCTTTGGCTTTGACTGGCCATCTGGAAGAGAGCGAGCCACGAACACCTCTACATCCAACACGTGATTGATGTGAACACAAAGAGTTTTTTTCTGTGAAATATTCAGATCGTCAAGCAACCAATGTACATGATCAGATGAGATCCACCGATCACAACAAAGATTCGCCATTTCATTGGGTGACATTTGAAGACCATCGACCTGCTTATCAAATTTTTCTCCGTAAATAAGATTTTGGAACTTTTTGATAGAATTAGTGGCAGGATGGCTTATCACAGAAAGTGGGCGAGGGTAGGTCGATGCAAACCAGTCGAGTTCTTTCTCGACAGCTCTCTTAATATCTATTGCCTCGGTAATCCGAAGCATGCCTTTGATTCCATCGTCATCAAAACAACCCAAAGAACTTTCCGCGTAGCAATAGCTTTTTGGATTAGAGTTCTTAACTCTCCTCATTTCATCCCTCCATGACTCTAACGTATGCCTATCTGGAATATACTGCAAACTCAGTAAATTCGATTGTTGTTTCGGTTGGTCGTGAACTTCTACCTTCCCATTTCTGGGCCTTTTTAGGTGAGGAAAACGGCATTCAAAAGCTTGAAATCTTGTTAATTCACTCAGAGTTCCTGAGGTCAGGTCTTTGCTATTTTTCTTAGCCGAAAACATCTGTAATTATAGAAAAAAATTACAACCCAAGTTATGCCTTGGCTTTACATTAATACTTCACAACGAAAACCATTCAAGTTACTCTGCACGCAAGAAACATGAAATTAAGTGAAACTGATACCTTCTGCAATGGGATAAAGACGATAGTAATCCGAAAAGTCAAACACGAAAGCCAAAAATTATCCGGCGTACAACTTCAACTATCCGGCACGACCTAAACATTTCAGCACGACTTTAACTTTCCCGCGCGACTTTAACATTCCGGCGCGACTTTAACTTTCCGGCACGAATTTAACATTCCGGCACAACTTTTAATTTTCCGGAACGTCTTTCTCTGGTCTGTAAAAATTAAAGTTAAAGTCTTGCCAGCTAAAAACTGAGGTGGCGAAAATTAAAGTTGAGGTGGTGGAAAAATGTTGATGAGAAGTACAAGATGGCACTTATGTCAATCGCAATGTCACGCAACACTGGAAAGGCACTGCGTGTGCACCTGCTGTGAAAGAGTAGTTGACTGAGTAGGAGGGCTTGACGGGAACTGATACCGACCGAGCGCAGCAAGGTCCGTGCGTCATGAATGAGAGACAAATGCACGCGCACGAATCGGAGCTATTCCTGTCAGCGGTGAAATACAGCAATGGCTCCAGTTTCTGGTCGTCCGCCTGAACTGAATAATTAGTTTAGTCAATGAAACTAGTCAGCGGATGACTTTATCGCCGGAATATCGCTGAACGACCTTGCTGAACAAGAAAGGCCTTCTCTTCGTTATTTCCAGTTTCACACATCGGTATTTTCACTCGAATTGATATTTCATCGTTCCGCTTCGAGACACACGGTCCAACACTACTCACGAGCAAGGAGTTTAGATATAACTTATTAACTTTTGCTATTTTTATCATCCAATTACAGGTCGGAGCCATTCCTGTATTTAGTCGCTTGTGACGGAGGAGGGCGTGATGTTAGGGAACAACTGACACAAATTGTGAGAGAATGTGTTCGAGATGAGATTGCTCTTCAACGATCGGGAAGTAATAACTAGTTGTTAATGAGAACCCGCGACCTTATACCAAGTTCAGCACGATCTGCGAGCCGAGAGATGACAAATTCCATCGCCCCAGGCATCATTCCATCTTTTCCCGCTACTGCACTGCCCTGTTTTTATTACCTTGTGACTGGAGATGTCATGTGTGCATTTGCATACTGTGATGTTTGGGATATTCTATATCCAATTTCCAGGAATATAGTCTTGCAGTACATGCTCAGTATGTTTTGAGTTTATTTTAAAGCAAAGCAAAGATTTACCTTCAAACTAGAGTAAATCCAGTAAGTGTACACTGCACCTCTTGGACGCTCCATTAAACCATCCACTGTTTAACATGCTAAAGCAACCAGTAATATTGGGTAAGCCTCCCATTACTAGAAAATTTATGTAACAAGTGTTTTTTGAAATAGTGGTTGTGGTCTAGGAGTTTTTTTTACTTGATATATTTAATGTGGAAAAATGTGAAGGTGCATTGGTCTACAATCAAGATGCCCTGAGCATTAAAATAAACATGCGTGCACAAATGTTTCTTATGAAGATTTCCTGGAAAGGCTCGCTGAAAGGTGTAAAAGGGCCTACCTTTCACCTATACCTACTATTCAAATATTAAAACTTCTCCACCAGTACATGTACATTTCTAGTCATGTGTAATGATT